ATAATAATAGTTATTATTTCGAGTGTTTCTTATGCACCAGGTTCTGTACTAAGCATTTTATAAGCTTGCACCCTTTTTAAAAATTCTGAGAAATGAGAGTTTAAGTAACTTCTTTATGGTCACACAGGAAATGCTTTTGGATGCTGGGTCTGTTTGTCTCCAGAGTGCATGCTCTTTATCATTGCTTATGCTGCCCAAGGACAAAATATTATTTATGTGGATTATTATGGCCTAATTAAGATAGGAAAAAATGAGGTAGCAAATAAAAGAGTTGCTAGTAAAATTATTTCCTTACGGAGAGCTGCTGTGTTGGGTAATTATGTGCCACACACAGCAGTCCTAGGTTACCTCTGTTCCTCTGCATTGATCTCACTTCACCCAGCTTTCACCAAGCCCTCCTAAAGTCTAAGGGACTATATCATAGTTGCCTTTGTCTTCTCAGTAACTAGGACAGTGCTGGTCATAAGCACATGCTCAACAAAACTCTACTGAATGAATGAATGAATGAATGAATGAATGAATGAATGAATAAATGAATAAATGAAATGACTCTGGGTTCTCTGAAAACACATTGATCCATCGATGGATTATTGGTGGCAACTTTTAAAATAGTGGCCAGTCTTCCTAGGTATAGAGCCGGTCTCCCGTTCCCCTCTGATCTGTGTGAGCTCACGGCACGCAAACGCACTGATAGTAACCTGGTAAACTCTGATTAGGTCCAGGGATGGTGGTGAGAAGTGACACTGGGAAAGGCATACTATGGGCAGCTAGAGGAGGAACTCATAAGAGACTCACTACTCGTTTAGAAGAGGTGGCAGTGAGTGATGGAAATTCTGGAAAAGAGGCAAAGTCCTGATTCAAAATCTATTCTCAAAAAGCATCAGGGAAGATGCTCAACATCACAAATCATTAGGAAAATGCAAATTAAACCACAATGAGATACACTTCATATTATTTAAGTATCATGAAAGAGTGAGCCTGTCGCATTATCCAGAAACCAAACCAAACCAAACCAAGCCAGACCAAACCCAGAAAATAAGAAGCATTGGTGAGGGCATGAAGAGATGGGAACTCTTGTGCATCTCTGCTGGGAATGGAAAATGATGTAGTCACTGTGGAAGGCAGTATGGTCGTTTATCAAGAAATAAAAAATAGAATTACCCTATGATCCAAAAGTTCCACCTCTAGGTATATACATATCCCAAAGCACTGAAAGTGGGGACTTCAATAGATATTTATATCTGTGTTCATAGGAGCATTACTCACAATAGCCAAAAGGGGCAAACAACCCAAATGTCCATCAGCAGATAAATGGATAAACAAATGTAGTATATACATACAATGGAATATTATTCAGCCTCAAAAACAAAGAAAAGTCTGATGTAGGCTACGACAAGGATGAATCTTGACAACATTATGCTAAGTGAAATAAGCAAGAAACAAAACGGAAATAGCGTATGATTTCACTTGCATGAGTTACCTAGAATAGTCCAATTCATCAAGACAGAAAGATCAGTAGTAGTTACCAGGGGTTGGGGAGAGGGAGGAATGGGGAGTTATTGTTTATGGGAATGGAGTTTTAGATGAGAAAGTTTTGCAGATGGATCGCGGTTGCACACAATAGTTGCACAACAGTGTGACTATATTTAAAATCAGCGAATTGTTCACTCAGAAAAAGTTAAGATGATACATTTTACGTTATGTTATATATATTTTACCACTTCTATCATATTTATGTTATGAATTTTTAATTTAAAAACCTATCCTCATGGTCAGCAGGCAATGGCTGGAAGCGTGTAAGTGATTGTAAACTTGGGATAGGCCTAATTTTTCATGACACTTTAACAAATTCCCAGTGCCCACCATCATAGTAAAAGCATGCTTGGGGAGGGTGCTGATGGCCCCTTGACAAGCTCCCAGTGATGGGGAAGTGGATGGCAGGTGCACAGCCCCAAGGGTGTGGTGTTTCCTGAGCCTGTTGGTAGGTTCCACCATCTGGCACACAGGGCTGAGAGTTCCCAATCTCTGCTTTGAACACCTTTTGAATTTGTGTTGGGTTCTGGGGATGTGGAGCATAAAGTCTTTGGGTTAGAGAGCTGCTTCCCTTTCAACATTGCCTTGGGCTTTTAACATGATTGCCACGCCAGACAGAGCAATACTTTTTGTTCCAGGTTGACTTAAAGGACATTGCCCTTAGGTGAGTTCCTTCCTACTTATAATGAGGACATTAACACAGGATATCAGAATCAGATGCCTAATGATTTTTTGAAGATGTAGATGAATTCCTTTCATGGTAAGTGGTACTCTGTATGGTTGTTTAGGAATCAAGAGAATTTAAGAATTTAGAGCAAAGGTGCAGAACTGAATTTTGGTACTTCATCACTAAAGCATTAGGACTTTAAATGACATGGATGATGTTACCAATCTCTTTCTGTTTGTATTGTTTTCAATCTTTTATAGCATTGCTTTCGTATCTGCTACTGACACTGAGATCCTCCCAATAAACCTGCGAAGGAGGCAAGGCAGGAATTTGGTCCAGTGTGCGCATCAGAAAATTGCTAGAAGTTCCTTAAGGCCAGAGCCTATGTCTTGTTTCCCTTTGTATCCTCAGTACTGGGCCTTTTACTCCAGCTTGGAACATAATAGGTTTTCCTAAGTTCTTGCTGAATGACTCAATGAATGTATGGAAAACTTTCAGTTCACTGCTTAAGGTTCTCTAGTAACGGGAGCTGGGCCTGGAATGCCTTCTGATTTCTTTTCCTATAATGACACCTTGGTATAAACAGCAATTTTTCCTGAGCCAAATTTCTTCTGGAGAATCTGTCCACCAGCAAGGTTAAATACATCTTAGCCAACCAGCCACGAGCTTGGTGGGCTGAATGCCTCAGTGGTTTCCCCTTAAGTAAAAGATGTACATCTTGATTGGAAGCTGGCAAGGTAACAGGGCTCCTATCGGATCCCTCCATGCCACCCTGCACCTCACAGCCCCTCCCCCCGTACGGAGCTCTCTGGTTGCCTGGCTTCTGTCACCCTTTGCTGTCCACGTCAGACAATGCCTTGCCTTGCCTGCCTTCTAGACTAGCTGCTGCTGGCTAGACTCCCTTTATCGCATGGCTTTCTATCGCTATCTTATCAGGCGATCCTGCTCCACTCTTGTTCCATCCTTCCAGGCCTCCCTGCTGGGTTCTGAGCCTTTGGTAGCTGAGCACTGCATGCCCCCCCCCCCCCCCCCCCCCCCGCCCCATGCAGGGCGGGCTGCTTCTCTCATTCCCCTTCTCTCTCACAGTCTGCTCTGTTTCCCATTAGGGGAGCGTGCATTTTAAATGTCTCAACAGCGTCTGTCACTGCAGCCACAGTTCCTCTGCTTCCCCAGCCCCCGAGCCCCCTTCCCAAGACAGACACTAGAGTGGGGAGCATCAATTTACAGTTTCTGGCCAGATAACCAGATGTGCTGGGTGGAAGCAAATTGTTATAGAAAATGTTTGTAATTTCAGATAAAGATCAACGCTCAAGTGGTAAGGAGGGTCAAGGAATGAAGACAGCTACAGTTTGTCCTGTTATCACAATTGATTGTAGTCCCAAGCAGTCTCTCTCTGTCTCTGTCTCTTTCTCTCCTTCTCTTGTTCTCACTCTCTTTCAGCCAGTTGGAAGTGATTATAAAGTTTTTCTAGGACACAGGCTCCATCCTGTCCTCATGCATCACATTAACACAGGGAACTGAGAACAGATTTTTATTGGATAATGGCGAAAAGTGATAAGTAATATTTCCAGGAGAAACTTTTGTTTCTGTGAAAAGGTGTCATAGCCTCTTAGGGATGGAAGATGGAAGGTACCACTGAAGTGATCTAGTTTCACCTCCTAATTTTGGAACCTCATCAAAAATAAAGAAACTTGCCCAAGGCCACACAGCAAGATTGAGCAATGTTGCTTATTATAACATTGCTCTTAGAGAATCACAAAGCACAATAGCATATTAAAGACACTGAAATTCAGCAGTCAATAAATAAGTTTATTTATCTGTCTGGTCAAGCATAATCCTAACCTATTGAATCACATCATTTTTTTCCTCCAAGAATTAGGAATTAGTGTCAGACAGAATACACTTTCACGAAATCTGGCTTAATATATAAAGACCAGCACTATCTCTAGTCATTTAGGTCTTAAATGGTGTATTTGTACCCAAACAAAGATGCTTCTAAAATAACTGGAATTATTGTTGAAATGATTTCAGGGGGCTTGTAGGGAACAACCGTGCCATCTGTCTCTGCTCTTTGGAGATGTTTGCTGGAGACATGAAACACTCACATCGGGTGACCTATGTTGATTTCATCTCCAAAGGGAGAGAACACTTCTCATTGTGGAATCTCCAGTGAAGGCTGCCTTCCAAAGTTAGAGTGGAAGCTCTGAAGAAAACATTTCAAATGACAATTAGGTGAAATAAAAATCACCAGACTTCGCACGCACCAAGTTTGAAAGGTTCTGGCTGCTTGTCTATGCACAGATACCAGGGACTGGGGGACAAGAACAATATTCTGTGATATTGAACGTGCTTTAGATGTTGCTAAGTGAAATAAGTCAGACAGAGAAAGACAAATACTATATGATTTCACTCATATGTGGAATTTAAGAAACGAAACAAATGAGCAAAGAAAAAAATAGACAAACAAAAAACCCAGGCTGTTAAATATCAGAACACCAGAATGAACTGGTGGTTGTCAGAGGGGAGGTGGATGGGGCAGAGGGATGAAATAGATAAAAAGGGATTAAGAGTACAATTATCTTGATGAGCACTGAGAAATGTATACAATTGTTGAATCATTATATTGTACACCTGAAACTAATATAACACTATGTTAATTATACTTTAATTTAAAAAATAATTTCAAAGAGTGCTTTAAAGGTAAGATAATAGGATCAATGGGTGGGTCTTTGGAAAGTGAAGTGGTTGATCTTGAGACTTATGCCTCTGTTTCCCAATTGCTTCTTCCTTTTCCTTTTAGTCTTCTCTCTCCTTCCCAGGTGGGTACGTACATGCAGGTGAGTGAACCAGCCAAAACACTCACATTTGCTTAGTTGGCCTTTGGACTCCACTGGGACCCAAGAAGGAAGGCTGATGATCTGGTACATTAATTCACTCATAAGGTGAGGACCATGCTGTGCCCACAGGTGGCATGTCAGCCATGTGATAGCTTGCGATAGAAAGAATTTGCAGTCTGCACCTCACATGATAGTGTGTAGGTGACTGCCTGCCACATCTAGATGTGATGATTGAGAAAACAACATGAACGACATAAAATGGCAGATTATTTAGCTTCCACTGCCATGGACTCAAAGGGAAAGAGCTGGGTAAGCAAGGAGATTGGAAAGAATAATTGTCTCCATCTTCAGGAGGGGAGGTTTGGGGTACTTCTATCCCCTCAGAACTCTGATCCACAGGAGAGGCATGGCATAACTCTCAAGTCCCTGTAGTTTCACCTCCTAATTTTGGAACCTCATCAAAATGGTTGGTAGACAATGGTAAAGGGAAGGAACAGATTATTTCTGAACTAAATTGAGTGGATTTTTCTCTTACTTTCTAATTATTATAATAGGACAAGAGGCAACCATAAGGACAGAACTTGAAATCAGAATTTTTCTCAAAATGTTACCTGGTATATTAAAATTACCTAGGAAGACATTTCAAAGCATTCCTGCTTTCTCTGAATCTATCTGAATCTGGGATTATCTGAATCTGGGACTTCAAGGTATGTATTGAGGGAAATCCTCGACTCCTTGGTGTGCTGATAATGCCCTATTTTAGAACCACTTTTAGGGGGTTTGTCTCTAGCTTAGGTTCAAATGAAAGACCATGGGATTTGGGGCCACCTTGGGGTAGTTTTATGACATGAGGGAACTTATTAACTCTTTAAAGTCTCAGTTCTTTTGTCTGGAAAATGAGGATAACAATACCTACATTTGAAAGAGTGTAGCTCAATGTGTTTAAAAATGTCAGACCGATGACTGGCACACAGTATGGTGTTCAATAAATGTGAAAGTCCTTCTGTTTCTAAACTAAAAGCCACCAACTTATGCTCAGGAAAATGACTGTGAGCCCTGCAAATCCTCAGGCATTAAATAAAATTTCAGCATAATGCCTTGTTGAGGCAGAGAAGTAAGCTATTATATTTCATAAGGAATCTTAACCTCCAGAGTGGAAATAAAAAGGGCCTTTGGTTAACTCTCAGCTAATTAGAAAATAAAATCAAGTAGACAACTCTTCTTTAAAAATACCCATTGAGATATTTTTGTAGATATTGACAAGTGCCCAGAGGATCAACCAATGGGAATGATTTTGCTCAGGAAAGGCAAGAGATCTATAAATAATGTTTAAGTTCCCCAGAATCAACTCTTTCCAAGCATAGAATGTGCCCTTCCTTTTGGAAAGTCAACATTTTAGGGCCGAACTTTCAGAGAAAATCAATTTCTGGATGGGAAAGGTGTGTGGGAGAAGCTGTTCACTTAAAGATTTATTTATTTATCTCAGAGAGAGAGAGAGAGAGAGAGCACACGTGTGAATGGGGTGGGACGGGGCAGAGAGAGTCTTAAGCAGACTCCGTGCTGAGCGTGGAGCCTGATGGGCTCGATTTCACAGCCCTGAGAACATGACCCCAAGATCACAACCTGAGCCAAACCAAGAGTCGGACACTTAACCGACTGCATTACCCAGGTGCCCCAAGGATGTTGACTTAAAAAAAAAAATCCAACAGTGTCTTTTCACAGCCGACCTTATGTAATTGACTGGTTGGTTTAAAGACTGTGAGTGGTACGAGTGGATGGAACATGAAAGCTGACAATAAAACTACTACTAATTAAATACTAATTGAAAATGAAGAGCAGTTCCTTAACATTCTTTACCTTCTACCTACCCCAGCAGCTCATCTTTTGCCTGGTCCTCGAGCTCTTGCTCTAATAGCATTGGATGGATCACACTGAACGCTCTTTCAACTCCTATTTCATTTTGATGTTTTTACAGGTTCTGTTTACTTCTCTGAGATGTTCCCACTTCTGTCTGGTGAATTTCTATTTGGTCTTCAAAACTCGGCTCAGATCCCTCTCTTCTTAAAGTGTTCTCTGTTAGTCCCCAGACTGGGGTTTTGGCTTCTTTTTTAGCATCCGATGCAAACCTCTATGATTCCAGTTACTACACTGAGCTGTAATTACCTGCTCCCTTGTCTCTGTCTCCCACTATTAGGTACATATATATCATATATACCGTATCACATCATAGGCATTCAATAAATAGTTACAAAATTTATTTATTTGACTAATATTTATTAAATATTACAATGTGCCAGGTGCTTTTGTAGATATAGGATACCATGCCCTGGACTTCCTTTTTTTTTTTTTTAAGATTTTATTTATTTATTTGTCAGAGAGAGAGAGAAAACAGCAGAGGGAGAGGGAGAAGCAGGCTCCCCACTGAGCAAGGAGCCCAATGCAGGACTTGATCCCAGGACCTGGGATCATGACCGGAGCCGAAGGCAGATGCCTAACCGACTGAGCCACCCAGGTGTCCCTGCCCTGGACTTCCTAAAACTTTTATTTTAGTAGGGATAGCCAGATGATAAATAAATGGTGAAAAACACAAAGGAGAAAAAATAAAATTGGTAAGAAGGAAAGAAAGTGTGTATGTGTGGTAGCTAATCTAGCTAGGGTGGTCAGGGAAAGCACCCATCAGATGAGATTTGAGCAGAGATTTCAAAGAGTTAAGGGAGCACACTCTGTGGATATCTGGAGGAAAAGCATTCCAGGCAGATGGAAAAGTGAGTGCAAAGGCCCTGAGGCAAGTGTGTACGTGTCCCGATGGTAGAACAGCAAGGAGGCTATGTAGAGGAGTGACTGAGAAATCACAGACATGAGGTAGGTCAGAGAGGGTACGTGACATCCCGGGTGGCTTCTGTGCCCACAATCTCACTTCCTTTCCATCCATCCTCCACACAGCGGCCAGAGCAATTGTTTAAAATGTGAATCTTATCGTATTACTTTCCTGTTAAAAATTCTAGAATGATTCCTCAGCACTTCCAGAACTACCTTCAGATGGCTGCCAGTGCACTTCTCCCAGGACTGTCTTGCCCTCAGCATGCCTCATCCTGCTCACACTGAATGAGTAGCTCTTCCGGTACACCAATTTGTTTCCCTCGTCTGAATTCTATGTGTTGCTTTTCCTCTGAGTAGTTGCCTCTACCCCCAAGGCAAATCTTCATATAACTCAACCAACCTTCCAAATTGAGCAATAATTGTCACTTGTTCTGAAAAAATGGGACACCGAACTTTCTTTTAGCTCCTGGCCCATCCTTATACTTACCCCTAAATCTAATTCTGAAACTAAGTTCGACCCAAACCTTAATCCTGTCCCAAATCCTACCTAATCCAGCTCCAAATGCAATGTTAACTGCAATCCTAACTCCAACCTAATCCTTCACCTAGCTTGAACTCCTGCCCAGACTTGACCCCAATTCCAACCTTGACTCTACGTTAGCTAGCCAAGGATCCATGTAGTGTGATGTGTGGCTCTTGAAAAGACAGAGCATGAAGTCCACCGTTGCAGTACTGAGCTTCCTGCAGTGAGGAATGCTGCTGCAAGGGCTGCAGGGGCTTCTCACCACGGGCCACTGCTGCCTAGTTAGCAGGGTCTGTAGCTTCTCCGGTCTGAGAGAAATCCATCTGAACCTCTGATTTGTTATCTGTATACATTCGGTAAGTTACTAAATCTCTTTGTGTCTCAGGAGACTCACTGATAAAATGGAGAAAATTAAGTTTATGTCACAGATCTCCAACGAATACGACATAGTCCAAGTACCAAAGAACACAGTAGGTCAATAGAAGGTTAGCCGAGTTGGGCCATCTCTATGATGTTGGGTCTCAAGGAGGTCTTGGGCTTTTCCTATACCTCTGAAGGGTCCCTACCCTCAGTGAGCAAAGGATTTTCCATATTAGAAACCTAATACATCTGATTGGATAATAATATTATTCTTGAAACTTGGTATAAAAATACTTCATTCTAATGAAGAGGATAATAATCTTCATCTCTTACATTTATGTAGAGTTTTGAAATAAAACTCTTTAGTCTCTGCTATTTAAATTCCAAGTTTAAACAAAGCAACAAGCACACAAGCAAACAAACTACAGTACTGTATTAGGATTTTGACCTGAATGGCATTGAAACTATGAATTAATTTGGGAGAAAACTGTTGTATCTGCAATGTTTATAACATACCACATTATAACCCTACACTGGGGATGGACTTATTAAAATCTTCTCAGTAATGATTTCTGGTTTATTCATTTAGGTTTTGCAAGTGACTTGTCGGGGTTTCTTCTGGGTGCATTATGATTTTGTTTTTGTTACTATTGGGGAATGGAGTCATTTCCCATTATGTCTTTTATTGACCACTGTTGTATATAATTAGCTTGTGGCTATCACTTTACTAATCTATCTTTTTTTTTAAGTGAAGTATAGTTGACATATAAGGTTATATTAGTTTTAGTAATCTATTTTATTAATTGCAACAGCTTTTCATTTGTCTCTTTTGGATTTTCTAAGTATTTAATCAGGTCACCTCACCTGAAAATAACGATACCTTTGTCTTCCTTCAATAATTGCATCCTGTATTTCTGTGTCCTATCTTTTGAGTTGGTCAGAACTTCCAGGATAACATTAAGTGATAATGGTAATTTGGGGCATCCTTACATTGTTACTGATTTTAATGGGAATGCTTCTTGTTTTGCCATTAAGTTTGGTGTTGACTATTGTTGTCATTACATTCTAGTTTCATTGCATGTGGCTAGACAAGAAAGCCTGTGCAATTTCCACTTTGGGAATTGGTTGGTATGTGTGTATGTGTGCACATCTCCATGCACCTGTATGAGATAATAAATTTTTGTAGAGGCTTCATGAATGCTTTTAAAGATGGCATAATCTATGTTTGTAAAGGTCAACATTATTTAGTGGCCTTAATGTTATTAATTATATTTATTTAAATTCTCCATGTCACTAATTCTGGCTGGTCTAATTGAACTAGAAAAAGTGGATAAATCTGTGTTAAAATTACATGTACAAATTGTGTTCTTGTCAGTTTCTCTTCACTTTTCTAGCCAGTTTTGCTTTGTATCATTTGGTATTAGGTTAATTGGCACATAAAGGCATTAATTACTACTTCAATTTTATTGGGCTATTCTCCAGTTTATAAATATAAAATAATATAAATAATCTATTTTCTCTATTTAGTTACTTTTGCCTTGAAGCCTACTTTGCCAGAAATTAATATTGTCTTTCCTATTTTAAATTTTATTCTATTTAATAATTATATGCCCTTCCTTTTATTTTTAATACAGACAATTTTATTTTAGGTATGTCACTTAGAGGCAGCGGATATGTGGATTTAATTTTTTACTACAATATGAGAATCTTTGTTTCCTAATATTGGAATTTAACCACTTACATTTATTGACATATAGATGGCTTTGTTAACTTCTGTCATTCTGTTCTACATGACTTAGTTCCTTTTTCATTTTTTGCTATTTCTTTTGCTTTGGGGGTTTGTTTGCATATATGGAATCTTGTGTGTGTTTTTTGTTTCCTTAGTAACTGAGAAGGTGTATATCCTCTTTTCAACTTAAGTTTCCAAAATCCAGGCTTTGTTTTATATTTGTCTAATTATCAGAGTGAACAATTACATGGAGTTTTAGAATCTCTTCTGTGTGAAGAAAGGCATTTGGTGAATTTTTATTCCTCTCCTATCCAATTTTGTAGAATCCTTTTGCCCCCTCCCGAAGACCAGGCTGAGCTAGGTGTGGATCTCTCATTGATCTTCGCCTGGAATGCAGTAAACTTGGCTCAATCTATAAATGTCTTATGATATCTCTTTCCCCTTCGGGATCAGAAAGTTTTTTTTTTTTTTTTTTCTGTTATG